ACCATCCTTCCCATCCCGTTAACCACCGCCCCCCATCCCATCCCACCATCCTTCCCATCCCACACCGTCGCCCCCCTCCCGCCTCTGTCCCGGGCCATCCCGCGGCGTTCCCGGCCCCTCCCGGCCCATCCCGGCCTCGCCCCGTTCCCAGTGCTGCATCGACGACTCCGTGCCCGTGGTGTCCGTGCTCCTGGACGCCGGCGCCGACGTGAATTCCCGGGACACGGAGCTGTGGACGCCCCTCCACGCCGCCGCCACCTGCGGCCACCTCCGCCTGGTCCAGCTGCTCATCCAACGGTACCGCGGGAATACCGGGAATACCGGGACGGCGACGGGCCCCGGGGGGGGATCCCGGGCCGTCCCTGACCCTCGGGATTGTCCCGGCACAGCGGCGCCGACCTGCTGGCCGTGAATTCCGACGGGAACATGCCCTACGACCTGTGCGAGGACGAGGCCACGCTGGATTTCCTGGAGGGCGCCATGGCCGAGCGGGGTGAGCGGAAAACCGGGAATGACGGCGGGAATGGCGGGGTCACCGGGGTCGCTTTGTCACCCGTCCCCTCCCCGTCAGGGATCACCCAGGAGCGCATCGAGGAGGCTCGAGCCGCCACGGAGCGCTCCATGATCCGGGAAATCCGGGAGCTGGCGCGGGCGGGCGCCGACCTGGACGCGCCGCGGGGACACGGGGCCACCTTGGTGAGCGCGAGTGACACCCCCGCGAGTGCCGCCGACCCCCTGAGCTGTCCCCAAGTCACGTCTCCGTGTGTCCGTGTGTCCCAAATTCCCACCAGCTCCACGTGGCAGCGGCCAACGGGTACCTGGAAGCGGCCGAGCTGCTCCTGGAGCACCGCGCCGGCACCCACTGCCGGGACGAGGACGGGTGGCAGCCCCTCCACGCCGCGGCCTGCTGGGGACAGGTGAGGACGGTTTTTATGTTCCCCCCAAAAAGGGCACGGACGGAGAAACCGCTCAAAGTTTTCCGTCTAATAAGCAGGAGGCACCTTCATTAATTCCGGTCATCCCGGACAAAACCGCCTCCTTCCAGCAACTCGCAGCTGGAATTTTGTGCCGTTTTTGCCGAGCAGTTGCGTCACACGAC